CAGCCACCTTGAAAAAATAAAACAAACATAACAAATATATATTATATATCGTATACACACAACGTTAACGCCTTGAATAAAGTTTATGGTGAAGATGCACACATTTTTTTCATATTACTCGAATTTAAAATAGTTTCAGTTAACAAGTTTAGAAACTAAGCAAAGGTAAGTCGTACGCAAATTTTCAAAAAAAAAAAAATCAAGGACAAACATAACACAGGTTGAAGTTTCTAAAGTCAATAGCACAAGGAGTTAACATTCTTTGTTTCATATTGCAGGCTTTTTCCTCTTCACCCTAAGAACTCACTTAACACCGTTGTCGTACACCTGACGCTTTGACAAAGCGTCCGCTCTATAGCCTCGGGCTGAGGAGATGAGACGTAGAGAACGGTCAATCATTTAGAGATCGAGGTTTATCGATCCCTACAATTTTTCGATCCCCATACAAACAGCGCTTATATTTTGTGACAGAAACCATGTATTCTGTTTATCCTGATCAACGGTCCACCCACTCCCATCCGTCTCAAAATTCTGATAACCAATATACATATTTTTGAATGCTTTTGCTTGCTGCTCTTTGATTTCTGTCCCATTGGTGAGAGTTGGAATAATGGATCTAAAGGTGGGTTCAGCATACTCAGCCTTGTTGTTTTGACTGTACTTTACAAATTTTACATACAGAGTAAGAGACCGCCTTACCCATTTGATACCTTAATTGGACCACAATGTAGTTTGAAGTAAATTGTAACGCCGTCGAGCGGTAAACGGCTCTATTTAAATAATCCAAGTGCGAGATAACTCCAGTTTTATTAATAATCCATGTGACTTTAATTCTCCAACCTCTAAAGCATACGCTTTAGGTTAAATGAAACGCAAAATAAATTATTTACAGTTTATTTACATCACAAATATATTCAAGTTCCACACATTATAAATCACTGGCCGGACTTCACTTTTCCTACATGTATATCCCGTAATAGAATTGATAAGACTGACTGCCCCTAAGCATTTACTCGACCTATATATATATATAAAGTGCATTGCTCATGAGGAGCAATCTTTTTTTAACGGGGTCAGTTATGTAACGACATTGCTCGCGCGGAGCAATGACAAACATTGCGTAACAATAAAACAGAATAATACTATAAGATACCGTTACAAAATGTCTTATTTGATCACTTTTGTTTCTGAAAAACTGTAAAATGTCCCACAAATTTCCCGGGTTTGGCTCCAACACTCGGGTTTCCACTGCACCCTCCAGCGCCGTTTTGTTTCCTCCCCCGTTTTGACACCGTTTGTGCCTGTCAATGCATCTATCGCAAACATCCGTTCTCTTACTGTAAAAGCACTCGGGTAAGGATCCGTGACACCAGCGGCATTTTCGTCCATTCTTGGAACAGCTGTGGCCGAATTTCTTTTCCGGAAGCAAAGATTTCCTCTGGGTACACCAGTTGCATTTAGTTGATGAAAGTTCTGTCACCATTGCACTCTCTATATTTGATGAGGATTCTCTGGATCTCCATTCTCTCTATTTTAACGCCTTTCCTTTGTACTCTCCGCATTTTGAGGAATGTCGTTTGTATTTGTGAAAGGTGTTCCTTGAGGCCTTCTCATGACGTTTTTGTATTTCACCACAGTCCTCGCACGTAAATTCACCGTTGCGCGCCATTTTGCACAAATTTTCCTTGGGTAATATAATCCAATATTTGATTTCAATATCTATGTCCAGTTTGTCTCATTCCCATAAAATTCAGATATACTAATCTAAGTCCAGCATGCAAACACCACATTATTCAGTTTAAAGGGACAATAAACTCGGTGGTCAGCGCCCGGTTTGCAGTGTCCAGGTCTGCAATCCATCGGATCGATTGCACAGGTGATTTAAATGACCAGTGACCTATCTGGTTCCCTTTAATACTATATTTGTAGTAAGGGATACCTTCGTGCATCACTCCATGTGAGGAATGACCTGTGGAATGCCTTCTGTTTTCTTACATGAGGGAGGGAAGATGCACAACTGTCTTTTCCTTTTCATCACTTCTTCAGTGCTGTCACTTTAGTCTGGGTGTTGAATAACTGTCATTGAAATCCATGACGCAAAATTCACAAATCAAACCCACTGAAATCGAAATCACAATTAACTGTTTAGAATAATCCTCATATTTGGCGGTGACATGTCTTCAAATTATCAATCTATTTAAATGTGAGTCATTAAGTCCACTGCAATTTTATTAAGGGTAGGCGTATAGTAATATACGAGATGGGGATAACTTTCTCGTTATTAGTTATCATTTCAACGGCTTTCACTACCTGCTGATAAAATTTGTAAAACTGCGTTGCATTGCCAAAATATACTCCTACCAATAATTGTTCAATGGTCACGTCAATTTTGATATTTTTTTTCAGCCAGTACTCGACTTCGACGTATACATAAACACATGCGTTATCTCCGGAACATGTGGCATAGTCTCCGACAACATATTTGCACTCCTGGCAAGCGCTGATAAACAAAATGACGGTAAAACAAACTAAACATAATTAGGGCCCCGCAAGGATTTGCGGGTGCCCTATAGTAATCACTCTGTCTGTCTGTCTGTCCGTCTGTCACTCTTCCGTCCACAAATTTTCTGTTTTTTTCTAATAACTTTTTTTATGGTTGCCCAATCAAGTTTAAATTTGGTATGGTAGTTTAATAGGCAGAAAGACATATTTTGATGCTAAGTTTGATTCTGTATGTCTTCTAGTTTGGAGCTGGGGTGGTGGGGTAGATTCCTAAACTATGCATAAGAATGAACGGGCAACTTTTTTTATGGTTGCCCAATTAAGATCAAATTTGGTACGGTAGTTCAGTAGGCAAAAATACATATTTTGATGCTAAGTTTGGTTCTCTGTCCCTTAGTTTGGAGCTGGGGTAGTGGGGTAGATTCCTTAACTTTATATAAGAATGCATTGGCAAAGAGAGATAACTGCTGAAGATGTTCCCATTCAGTAAACTGAATGCTAGTAGGAGTCCCATGAGATTAATTAGCTTTCCTCCTGAAGAAATTCCAGAGCATTATCTTTATCTGTCACTTTGAGATTAATTACCACCTCTGTCTGCAAATGAAGTTTGTTTTGGAGTTAAATCAATTTGGAATTCTATGAAATACTCTGATATGTGGATTTAAATATAAATTTTTATTATTTATTTTTGTTTGATAGTTATGATTTCATTGAATCCTAAAAAAAGAAATAGATTAAAGAAGATTTTTTGATTTACCAGGGTACTTTTTTTTTCACTTTTTTCCTTTTTTTTAAAATATATTAATTCAAGAATGTTTTTAATTTTTAATGTAGTTGTATAAAAACTCCGTTCTATCATTAATACTGAAAAAAGTTCTTATTGTAACTTTAGAAGAAAATGATGAGAGAGGTACAATTAATCCCTTGGGATTAATTATCTAGCCTGCTGCAGAAAATTTAGTAGGCTTCTCTTTATCTGTCACTTTAAGATTAATGAAAACCTTTGTCTGCAACTGCTGTTTGTGTGAAGTTAAGGTCAAGCCTTCATGATATTTGCATTCATTGAAGGCTGGCCTTTTATATAACACAAGATTCATAATTGTTTAAATATAAATTCAATGTTAAGTTGTTCTTTACTGCCTAATGTAAATACAAGAATATTATTTTCAGGTTTTTGAATATTCAGGAATTATGTTGAAATTTTAAGAATACAGTTGCTGTTGCTTTTTCTTTGTACATTTATTAATCATTCTGTAAGCTGTACCCTTTTAATTCTACCCCATGGCGGGGCCCTTGCTGACTGGTCAGTTTTCTAGTTATATATTCTATATCTGATTTTCGCTTCGTGATCGGGAGGCCCGAGTTCGATTCTCGTTCGCGGCGCCGCGTCATACCTAAGACGTAAACAAAGGTAGTGGCTGTTCCTTCGCCAAGCGCTCGGCACTAGAAGTGAAAGTCTTGGGTCTTTAGTATATGACCTTAAAAACGTAGGTCCCGTGTCACGGTAGGCGTTGGCACGATAAAGAACCCTCATTGCTCAATGGCCCTGAGTGCCGAGTATAGATCTAAATTTGAAGCCCTTCACCGGCATCGGTGACGTCTCCATATGAGTGAAAAATTCTCGAGAGGGACGTTAAACAATATATAATCTATATCTGACTCCATTATCATAAAATTTAAGTTTAAAGAAATAATTTTTCCAACTAAGTTGAAATAAAAAAAAAAAGTGAATAGATATCCGCTGATTTTTTTTTGTTTCGACATTTATCAAAAAAACTCTTTTGAACATCGTAAAGGTAATTATTTAAAAATTTAGAAACAAATTTGACCAAACGCTTATGAATTATGACCCCTTTCGAAGTTATTGTCCCTTTCGCAAGAAATGCTTGTTATTGCTACTCCCCCGAAACCATAAATAGAGCTACGACTAATTTAGTAGACTCTTCATTCTTACATTGCGAAAGCATTCGCAAACCCTGTGAATTAATTATTGCCCCTGAATGTTTGCGAATATGAACATCTTTTATAAAACAACAAGGCGTGGAGACATGGGGCCAACTGCCCAAGATTAATTGACCTTTGTGTGTCGGTCAAAAGCTCTACAGAGGTTATGTTAATTGTTGTAATAAACCGACTTGAAATAAAAAAGATTTATCGCTTCCCAGTACTTACAGTACTTTCAATCTCTCAGTGGAAGTTTCTGCGATGTTTGTTTACATTTGATCAATACACAGAAATACACGTAGAAGCTTGTTCACATCAGCAAGAAGACACAATAAATGGGATACAATTATTTGCAATGTGAAAAAAAAGTATTATGCGGCCATAAGAATATATAATGCTACACCGGGAATTAGACGCCTTTTTTAGAATGATGTAGCTAATGCGGTGCGCAAAGAAATTTCCGCTCTATCAAAAGTAAAGGATTTCTTCTCCCCTAGGGTGCCTCTGTCTCAAATGAGATGATAAGGTTACCGTTCATAGATAAGTTAGCGTGGTTCGGAATCAGACGTAAATTCAGTTTCTTTTGTTTTAATTGGAATTAGTTAAAAGTTTTGTGATTTGTGACTTTGTGATATACATTGTATATGTCAACAACATTTATGTCTTTTATGACATTATATAGCGTATAGACGCTGATTTTGCGTATAGACGCATTTTAGAAAAACTGTATATACAGTAAAAATGAGTGTAAACTCGGAGTGTCAGCCTGTTGAAAAGTCCCTCAGTGAACAAAAAGATGAGGGAGGGAAAGAGAATGCATCGATCATCAATATGATGAAAGAAATGCAAAAGAACATTTTGTCACTTACAACTACTGTGAGCGAATTACAAGAGAACAAGGGAACGAAGCGCAAGATCCAGGAATCGGATGAAAAACCTTGTACATCTAAGTCGCGCGTAGAATTAAGTGACGTTTCTGATGAAGAGAGAGACGAGTTTGATGACATTTTAAACGAGACAAATGAAGACATGGACACTGATTGTGACCATTTGCTTGATGAGCTGGCCGAATGTTTTGGCTCAGAGGATAAGTGTGGCGAAGCAATACACGAAAAACTCGCCAAAGTAACAAAAGATGGCGTTCGAACGGTAGTAGACTCTGACAAAATAAAGGAAGTGAGCGACAAATATAACCGACCTAAAAATGTGCAGAATCTTGTCACTCCAAAATTAAATGAGGAAATCCGAGCTCATTTGAGCCGCAAAGTCCGAGGCCAAGACATTCGGATACAAAGAACCCAGACACTTGTCGGAAAAGCCATTGTCCCGCAATTACAACAAATTAATTTGCTGCTAAATGCAAAACAAAAAGGAGAGACACCCTCCATGAAAGAGCTCACTACCTTAGCAATGGACAGTCTGAAACTTATGACTTATGTCTATTGTGACCTGTCAAACAGGAGAAGAGAACTAATCATTCAACCCGAGAAGAACGAAGAGTTCCGGGCATTGTGTTCTAACGAATATCCGGTCACCGACAAGTTATTTGGTGACGACCTTGGTAAAAAAGTTGAGGACATTTTAAAGGCCAACAAAGTGGGATCCAAAATATCGGGATTTAACAAGTTTGACAAGCGCGGAAATCATAACCGCAAACAGCATGGACACATGCAGAAATCATCCAATTATGGAAACTACAAGGCCAATAATTTTTTAGGCCAACGCTGGGGATCAAACTACAAAAAGAGAACGGCTCCAGCCAACAAACAGAGGAAGCAATAGCTCCTACAGAACATGCAGATAGAAATGTGAGTAGATTTCAAAACACTTCCGAAAATTTTTCAGCGGGAAAAATAAACTCCATTGAATTTGACTCAGATCCCTCACAGACTTTTATTCCAAAACCAATCAAATTTAACGACACAGATTCGGTTATAATAGACAATGAAATTGGCGAGCTTTTAAAAAAGGGAATTATTGAACTTGTCACTACAGGTGATGACAATGATGAATTTATATCAAACATTTTTGTGAGACCAAAGAAAAATGGAAAATTTAGAGTAACTCTCAATTTAAAACAATTAAACCAATTTATAGAATATCAACATTTCAAAATGGAAACATTTACGGCAGCCTTAGGACTTGTGTCGGAAAATTGTTTTTTCGGTTCAATAGATCTGCAAGACGCATATTATTCATGTCCTGTTGATGAAAATGATAGAAAATATCTAAGATTTTATTGGAAGGGATCAAAATATCAATACACGTGTCTTGCCATGGGATTAGCATCAGCCCCGAGAATTTTTACTAAAATGTTGAAACCGGCTTTTTCTACTTTACGGAAAAGAGGACACACCAATGTAGCTTACATTGACGATTCGTTATTAATCAGTAAAACATATTCTGAGTGTAAGGATAATATTTCAGAAACAGCAAATCTTCTTGATAGTCTTGGGTTGACAATTAACATTGAGAAATCTGTGTTTACACCAACAAAATCTATTCAGTTCCTTGGATTTGTGATAAATTCTGAATTAATGTCAGTTACTTTAACTAAGGAACGTGCTGATTCGATAAGAGAAAAATGCCAAGAAATCCTTAATCTGCATAAAGTAACGATAAGAGAGTTGTCACAGTTAATTGGCAAATTAGTGTCAAGTGAACCCGGGGTCCGTTATGCACCACTGTACTACAAAGTGCTGGAAATCGAAAAGGATAAATTTTTAAAAGCAAATGCCGGCAATTTTGCGGCAAAAATTTATATATCTGTGACAAGCAAAGAAACTATTGAATGGTGGATCAAAAATGTTAATAAATATCCGCGACTCCTTAACATTGACAATACCAGTGTAGTTATAAAAACAGATAGCTCTCTAACGGGCTGGGGTGCTTTCAATGAAAGTACCGGAGAGGGATGTCAAGGAGAATGGTCAGCAGGGGAAAAAGAACATCATATTAATTACTTAGAACTCAAAGCAGGATTTATTGCGTTAACAAAGTTTTGTAATGATTTTCATGATAGTCATGTTAAACTTTATATGGATAATACAGTAGCGGTCACATACATTTCAAAAATGGGTGGAAAGATTGAGTCATTAAACAACCTCACAATAAATATCTGGGAATTTTGCATGAGTAGAGATATATGGCTTTCGGCAAATCACATTGCAGGCTCAGAAAACACGGAAGCGGATTACTTATCCCGTCAGAAAAATGATGACTTAGAATGGATGTTGGACAAACAAATATTTCTTAAAATTGAGAGAAAAATTGGGAAATGCGACGTTGATATGTTTGCGTCAAAAAACAATTTTCAGTTCAAACCTTATGTTTCCTTTCGACCAGATAAAGATGCAAAAGCAATTGATGCAATTAGTCTTAATTGGAGTGATTTAATGAGCTATATATTCTCTCCTTTCAGTTTGATAGGGACTGTTCTTCAAAACATAATGACCGACAGAGCGGAGGCGATATTAATTGCGCCAATATGGCCGACCCAGCATTGGTTCCCGCGCCTACTGCAATTAATATGCATGGACAGCTACCTGCTACCTCACAATCACAATCTTCTGTTAATGCCGGGAAAGCCCCAAAAGCGCCACCCGCTGCGGAAAATGAGACTTGGCGTCTTCCGTGTGTCAGGGAATCTTTCCAAAGTAGAGGATTATCAAATGAAACTCAAGCCATTTTGCTATCTTCCTGGCGAGAATCAACTCAAAAACAGTATAGGACGTATATCAAAAAATGGGTGTCATTTTGTAATCAAAGAGAAATTAATATTTTTGAAACAACTGTAAATAATGTTTTATCCTTTTTAACAGATTTGTTTAATTCAGGAATTGGTTATAGTTGTTTAAATAGCGCTAGATGCGCATTATCTTCATTCTTGCAATTAAATAATGAATTGAATATTATAGGAATGACTCTAATTCTTGGCCAAATTATTCGATTATAACCTGGTTTGGGTCAGTTTACGCTTTATAATCCGCGAAGCGGATTATAAAAAAGCGTAAACTGACCCAAACCAGGTTATAATCGAATAATTTGGCCAAGAATTAGAGTCATTCCTTATAATTTAATTTTTAGATAATTAAACAACTGTGGATGTAAAATTGTGCTGCTTTTTAAGAGTTCAAATTTGCCGCACAATAATACATCCCTAGTAACGGAAGTGATTTGAAACAAGGGGACGTAATAACTCAAGGGGACGTAATAACAGATCTAGCAGCCATGATGTTTGTTTACATGAGGTAAGAGCGAGCTACTGTTTGAAGTTAAAAGTACATTTATTAAATTTAGAATTTTCCATGTAATTCCATGGACTGGAAATGTGGGATTGCATAGATACAAATGAATCAGCTGGTTGTCAAGGGGGTGTGTCCCCATACCAAACCAGGTTATTACGTTTTATTCTAGTGTTCCTTTTTGGAAATCAACCAATGAGAGACTAGAATATTATCAAAATTAAATTATAGTGTAATAAATTGTCAAATTGATAAGTCAGGTTTAAAGTTAAGAATTTATTGTAAGTCCAAAAATATGAAATTCATAAACATAATTTTAGAACAAATTTTGTAGATAGAACAAACTGAATTTTACAAAGGTAATTCCTAAATGTTAAACAAACTGAATTTAACAAAGAATGGTCCAAAACTGACTCACTTACAAACTCACTCACATCTAATCTTTGACAACTCCGCCCACTTTCGTACTGACCAACCAATTAAATTAAGGATAGAAAATTGCAAGAACAGGGGGAATCCGTATGACATTAATTTACAACACTGAAATTAGGTAGAGCTAAGCATAACAAATTCAAAGAACACGATCCTAAGATCTAACCATAAAGTTGATAACAAGTATGAGTAAATGACATTAATATCGTGAGACAGGAAAGAGATGTCAAGAATTAGATATTGGTAACATGTGCAAATTGCATTCTCTAAACATCAAATGAAAACAATTAACTTTCAACTACAGATGTTAAACAAGACCGAAAAGTAATAAACAATGATATAAAAATATATTCATAATTAATAATTTGTCATTTAGAAACCCTTGTAACCAATAATCACAACATCCGCCCACAGAAAATAAAATTGTAAAACAATTTTACATGGGGTTAATAAATGCAAATTAATATTTTTTTTAAAAAATGAGGATTACACAGAGAAAGAGAAAAAAAACAAACAAGTGTCACATACAATCTACAACATGAGTAAAAACTCAAAACAATGTTCTCGTACTTGCGCTTTTCATAAGCTGTACATTAGAAACATATTACACACATATTTACAAACATAGGTAATCAGAGATTACAGAGCTCACCTCAACGAATGTTGTCTTTAAGTAAGGCAAAATCACACAATTAACCAACAAAAAGTATACATTCCAAAAATGAAAATATTTAAGCAATTTTGATCTGATACTTTGAAATAGATCTACATAAAAAATTTAAACTAGTTCTTCTTCATGAAAATGTAATGAAAATCCAGCATCTGAATCAAATTTGAGAGTTTTCATCTCTTGATGCAGCATTTGTGCAAGTTTGGTTTATACAATGTTATATAAGCCTTATAGTTTTTGGTAATAGTCCTGCAACCATAACTTTTACCATGTCTATTATCTGAAAAATGTATGTCGAATTCAGCATCCAAAGCAAGTCCATTAGTCAGTGCATCCTAAGATGTATCATCCATGCAAGTCTCATTATAGGGCTCATAGTTTATTGGAAATGAAACGTATCAAAAACTAACATTTTCACTCATCCACAAAAAGTAGGTCAGATTCAGCATCCGAAGCAAGCCTGGTAGTATGTATCCTTAGATGTATCATCTATGCAAGATTGGTCATTAAAGAACTCATAGTTCCTTGGAAATGAAACCTACACCAAAAACTTTAACCTGTTCTCTCAACCTGAAAATGTAGGTCAGATTCAGCATCCGAAGCAAGCCAGGTAGTATGCATCCTTAGATGTATCATCCATGCAAGTTTGGTCAACATAAGGCTTACAGTTACTTGGAAATGAAACCTGCACCAAAAACTTTAACCTGTTCACTCAACCGGAAAATGTAGGTCAGATTCAGCATCCGAAGCAAGCCCGGTAGTATGCATCCTTAGAAGTATGATCCATGCAAGTTTGGACAACATAGGGCTTACAGTTACTTGGAAATGAAACCTGCACCAAAAACTTTAACCTGTTCACTCAACCGGAAAATGTAGGTCAGATTCAGCATCCGAAGCAAGCCCGGTAGTATGCATCCTTTGAAGTATCATCCATGCAAGTTTGGTCAACATAGGGCTTATAGTTACTTGGAAATATAACCTGCACCAAAAACTTAAACCTGTTCACTCAACCGGAAAATGTAGGTCAGATTCAGCATCTGAAACAAGCCCGGTAGTATGCATCCTTAGATGTATCATCCATGCAAGTTTGGTCAACATAGGGCTTATAGTTAATTGGAAATGAAACCTGAACCAAAAACTTTAACCTGTTCACTCAACCGGAAAATGTAGGTCAGATTCAGCATCCGAAGCAAGCCCGGTAGTATGCATCCTTAGAAGTATCATCCATGCAAGTTTGGTCAACATAGGGCTTATAGTTACTTTGAAATGAAACCTGCACCAAAAACTTTAACCTGTTCACTCAACCGGAAAATGTAGGTCAGATTCAGCAAATGAAGCAAGCCCGGTAGTATGCATCCTTAGAAGTATCATCCATGCAAGTTTGGTCAACATAGGGTTTACAGTTACTTGGAAATGAAACCTACACCAAAAACTTTAACCTGTTCACTCAACCGGAAAATGTAGGTCAGATTCAGCATCCAAAACAAGCCCGGTAGTATGCATCCTTAGATGTATCATCCATGCAAGTTTGGTCAACATAGGGCTTATAGTTACTTGGAAATGAAACCTACACCAAAAACTGCACCAAAAATGTTAACCTGCTCCAAAAACATTAACCTGGTCATTCCTTTGCTGAAATTGCAGCATCTGAAACTTTGTCTGGTACAATGAAACACACTTAAACCATCTTTCATGCATGTCTAATCAATATAGGACACAGAAGTAATTAAAAAGAAAACTGCTCCAAAAAACTTAACCTGGGACGCCGACACCGACGCCGAGGGTATCACATAAGCTCCCCCCAACTTCGTTGAGGTGAGCTAAAAAGGGATCACGCCTCAAATCAAGCATGTCATCGCTTTATGCAACACTCATAAAATTGTTACCGTACTGGCGCTTACTTTCAAGCTGTACATTATAACAAAGTTTCAAAATAAACGACATATGACTTCAGGATAAAAAAAAACAACTCATCAACTCCATGCATCATTACGCCTCAAGAGTATACAAACTCTCTCTCACAACAGCTACTTCACATTGGTAGCTCAAATTGTGACCAATACCCATTAGTAATTATCACTACGAGAAAAGTGTACTAAACTCTTGCAGTTAAATAACTTGAGTAAAATAGACACACTCGTACCAATGCATAATTATAATGATATTAAAAACAAAACACACCAATAGCACATCGATATCGCAAATCGTAAAAAAACGAAAACAAAAACTACTGTCATGCAACTGTAAGGAATATACAGGTCTATGTGAAAAGTACAACTATAACTACTTTGTCGCATGCATTAACATATGTACATCTCAGAATCATTGGTTTTAAACAAAAAAACTTTAACAGTCAATAAAGAGCGATGGAACAGCTTCACTGACTTTGGCATGGCGTGAATTTACGAAAGAAACCCTCTGCAGGTACGGCCATCTCTTGACTCCCTGTGGCTCGACCTTCGGTATTAGAGGAATTAAGTCCTGTAGGTAATGAACGATTTCCAAACATCGTGTTTCTTATAACTAATTTTAGAAAATGGTTTGATGGATTGTCATTTTGAAGAACGGGGAACATTTCGGTGCCAGGTCCATTGGTACAATTTGCACGATCCTGCTGTAAATCCTCCTCAAGGGGACGAAACGAAAAGTGCGAGGATAGGGGGACATGCATATCGACCATGACTGAGCACAGGAATTCAGCAAATGGTTGGATAGTCATCTTTAAGAACGGAGAAAGTTTCGGAGCCGGAGCCTGGTCTATTGGTAGATTTTCCATGCATGGTCCTGTTGGAAATCCTCATCCATAGAACGAAATGAAAAGTACGTGGATAGGGGGACATGCATACTGAACACGACTGAGCACAGGAATTCAGCAATGACGGATTGTAGCTCTTCTGCAACACCGAATTTTACATTTCATTTTCATGAATATCGGCAACACTATAAATTGGTAAAATATCCGTGAATCAAATAATCCATTGAAGATGATGATCAATGTTGAGTTGGTTTATCTCCAAAGTTTCCTGACATTTTCAGTAATATTTGAATAAGGTGAACACAATCCAAAATGTTCAAAGTTGTTTTACATGATACCGTAGTCCAAAAAATTTAGATTCTCCACCATGTAATAAATTGTCAAATTGATAAGTCAGGTTTAAAGTTTAGAATTTATTGTAAGTCCAAAAATATGAAATTTACAAACATAATTTTAGAACAAATTTTGTAGATAGAACAAACTGAATTTTACAAAGGTAATTCCTAAATGTTAAACAAACTGAATTGAACAAAGAATGGTCCAAAACTGACTCACTTACAAACTCACTCACATCTAATCTTTGACAACTCCGCCCACTTTCGTACTGACCAACCAATTAAATTAAGGATAGAAAATTGCAAGAACAGGGGGAATCCGTATGACATTAATTTACAACACTGAAATTAGGTAGAGCTAAGCATAACAAATTCAAAGAACACGATCCTAAGATCTAACCATAAAGTTGATAACAAGTATGAGT